GTGCGGAAAATAATTAACTTATTGTAAGAGATTTTTAAACCAGCTGAATTTCACATTCTTAACGGAATTTTATTCTCAATGGAACTAAAGAATCTGAATTTATTAATTTTTTCTTTCAATTTTATATAAATAAATTTTATTTTAAAATTATTCTAAAACACACACAAATATATTTGCCTATTTTTATCAAAAGATTTTATTTTTTTTTGTATATGAATATATTATATTATACAATTATTTGAAAAAGTTGTTATTATTAATATAAAATTATCAATCAAATATTACTTTGAAATAATAGATTATAAATATTACATATATCGAAATCCAAAACAAAGAATGTGAATTACGGAAACTTTGCAACTTTTTAAATAACTAAAATTTTTAAAACTAAAATTTCTTACTAATTAATAAGTTTTAATGCTGCCAAATAATTTATAAGATACATTAAATTTTGTAGACAACCGTTTTCGAACATTCCAATAATGTTGTCTCCTGTCTCACAACTTTTCCAAATTTTATAAAATTGTTTACACACAAAAACTGATGAATTATACAAGAGATCCATCGACATTTTTATTATAAATTTCTTGTTTTAGTTATAAAAGAAATTTCTATTACTATCATTATATTTCGGTAAAAAAAAAAAATATTATTATCTCTCTCCCTCTAATATTTAAAATAAATTCTTTTATCTTTGCATATTATACATACGATTTTTGTTGATTATTATTATTATATATGGCACATACAATATATATATTATCACTTTTATCAATTTAAAAAATTATAAGCTTGTATAAAAAAAAATCGTGTATAAATAATAGACAAACGAATTTAAATACGATTCATTTTGTTCATTGTTATCTGTCACTCTTCTGTGAAACTGTCAATAATAGTTTTATAAGCATACAAAGAGCTTTTGTAATGCGTGAAACAGAATTTTAAAGGAGTTAATTAGCGGCGCCGGTAGCCGACGCGAAGAAAGTGGTACGTCCATCAATTGACGAGTCGTTGGACGAGAACGAATTTAAGCGGAACAGCTTTGCTTTTCAAAAGGGACTCAATTAACTCTCATACTTTTAAATGTTTGTATTAGATCGTCATAAGAGACGTGCTAAAAGCAGGATGTTGACCCTTCTGAGAAGAGAAACTCGTTACGCGATTCGTACACGCCCGTGGACCACGTCCGAGACTTCTCTCTTCGTAATTAGATGAATGTCCCACCTGCCGAGAGATACTAAAACAATGACATCAAAGCAAATATATAAATCATGTTTTGACAATCTAACAAAAGCTATCGTAATCCTTATAGTAATCCTTATTTATCCATCCATTTAAACTATATATTTTTTTAAACACATCAAAAGCAAAAAATTGAACTTTAGTATCGTTGCATGAAGCGATACCATTGATGTATGATAAATCATTAATCAATGATTGTATTTTTTTAAAAACTGGAATTCAAAATTGACGGCGGTGCAATCGATATACGCGATTTATTCGACCGCGATAAATGAGCGAGCTGCGATAATACGCCGTATTAGTCACGTATTGCATTCAAGAGAACTGCAATTTCTCCTCGCGTTTACGTGTTACTACGGGCCACACTTACCTACTGATCCATATTACTCGCGGCAGTATTCACAAGCTGACGTGAGAAATTAAAAGGTCTGAATCTTACGAAAAATCTATTAAATTCTGATGTATTTTTCTATTAATATTAAACATTAAGAAATGTTATCCTAAAGAGTTAGTTGGAAAAAGGTGTTTATCTTGTCACGTAAGATGACATAAGTATGCAAACTCTTCTTAATCGAATATTAGTGTTACTTATGAAAGGTAATACTACTTTGCGTCATAAATCATCATAATTAAGTATGAAAAATATTTATTTGATTTGAGATATTTTGCTGTTGTCGTTATTTGTCAAAAACTTCAAGAAATAAAAATTAATGCTTTCAAATATTCGCATATTTATATATTATTTATACAGTTGCATTTCTAGATTTCTTAATTCTATATTCAATAATCATTCAAATGGCACAGGAAATATTTATTTATTCTGAGAGATACTTCCTTGTCGCTGCTTGCCCAGAATCCTCAAAAAGTGAAAGTTATTTTTTTTTTTAATATTCGCATTTCTAGATTCTTGGATTCCACGAAAATTATGTGTATATATATCTCAGATATTTTTCAAAATATTCCTACAATATATATATAATAAATGCAAATTATTTTGGCTTTTCGACAATTTTTCTATTACATATTGTATCTCCCTCCGCTCTTACCACAAAATTTTAATCCAAAAGATATTTTCAATAACGAAAACATCACATTTATTTCGTAAAAAAAAAAGGATAAGAAGAAATAGATAAGAAGAATATTTCGATCTCATACACATGCTCAAAAGTTTTTTAAGAACTACGGCTACGACTATGGGATGGATTATCGATTTAAAGCGAAAGAGATCAAAGAGATTTCATCGAAGAGGAAATACATAGTACCTTGCGGGCAGAATAGGAACGTTACGCACAGGTGTGCATCGGCGTCATTTAACCGATCGACTTTCACTGGCGGGTCTCTGAACTCGCCGCGGCCTCTCACGAAGAAATACGCCTCTTCCGGTTCGTTTCGAACCGGCCTCGTCGTTCGTGAACTTGAAAATTAAACCGGCTGCAAACCGTCGACAAAGTTTCGCGCGTCTCTGGAATTTCATGATAAGAATCTGTGTGTGCGATAATTAAGACTCACTTTACAGATATGTCACATGCGAACAATGGGACTCAGAAACGGAATAAATGCATATTGTTCTGCGGCTTTTCTAATGAATCATCTTAAATATAGTGGAAAACAGCAATCATGTTTTACATGAATTCCTTTAATCTACACGAAAAGAAGATGATTATTCTTTTGGAAGAGATAAATTTCAATAAAAATAATTTCTTTTTGAAGATGTTCGAACAAAAAAAAAAAAAACATAATAGAAATATAATTGTAAATAATATTTATTTTATATAGAAATTAAAAACAGTGTGTTGGATAAAAGATTTAAAACTAAAAGTATTTAAAACAGCAGGCAAAACGAGATAATGGATCGATGCTCTTATTAAGAAAATCACCGTGAAATGTCCATTTATCTTTTTGTTTCCATTCTATTTAAGGAGAAACTGGACGGATTAACTATATCAAAAATTAATAAATCTAATACATTTCGAAGTTCATAAATGTGACATTACGCAAAGCACGCTTTAATTAAAATATCAAATTTAAAATACAAAATTAATAATTAATTTACGAATTAAAGTAAAGATTTGCCCTGTAGAATATAAATTAATCTCAAAATCGTAAATATTAGCTTATATTGAACTAACTTTTTTATAGTACCTGTATTACAAAAATTTTATAGTAAAGTGATTGTACCCAAAAATTCCTGAAAATAAAATTTTAATTTTACAAGACGAATTGTTACTTTAAATCATAAATTAATTATTAATTTTATATTTTAAAAGGCTAAAAATTGCTTTTTGCACTATATCAAATTCATGAATCTCGAAATGTATTAGATTAATTTTTGACATAACTGATCCGTCCAGTTCCTCCTTAAATCAAGATCGTAATTAAAATGATATCTCTATAACAAGATTCATCATAAATTAGTTTATAGGGACAGAATATCACCGATAACAATATGTGCAGTCATTGGATTCAACTCGTGTATATATATATATATTTTAAGAGTAAAATGAAAGTGTTATGATGTTCTATAAACAAAACTCTTCCACGTGGAAACCGGCAATTAAAATCCCAAGAATTGTAAATAAAAAATTGAATTAAATTAAATTAAATTAAAGCGTTTGGGAGAATTAGAAGATGGAAACCTAAAACCGTAAAAATTTATGATTCCAAAACATTGAAGAACTTATAAAAATTCATAGACTATTCAAGAATATCGTTATACAAAGAAATCTCATATTTTAAAATCTTGTATTGGAAACTTGACAAGTTCAAGAGCGCGAAATGAAAGCGGTGCAAAGTTGAGAAATGAAGCGCGAAATATATGAGTACCGAGAAAGTATTCAGAGGAGAAGAAACACTGGAGATAAAGATGTAATGACGCGGCCCAAACGTCGTTCTGAATGTGTAAATTCTTTTTGCAACGGCCGAGTAATTGGAACAAACGGAAGTATCGCATCATTCCTACAAATTAAATTCGTTAAGGTATAAATAAAAGTTGCATTCATTTGCAAAGTATAACATGTGAGAGAGCTTTTTTTTTTAATTTCTCGGATGACACGCGTTTTTGCATACAATGATATTATTACATCCCTTTCTTTCTCTATCTATTCGATTAGAAAAACATTTTCACTATTTTATATATACTATATAGCGCACTCTTAAAAAGATTATTTACGTCGCATAACGAATTTTTTTGTTGACAAATAGTGTATCTGACATTTAGACTGAGAAGTGAAAAATTTACATAGATACTGCAAATTAAAAATACCAGTCTTTCGTTTTTGCATATTTTTAGAATATGAAAAATGTCTCTCGAACGGTTAAATCTAAGCTTCTAAAAAAATTCCTGAAAAGAAGACGATTTTTTATTAATTACAGTATAGTTTTCTCTTTCATTAATATTTGTCATACTTAAATTATATATATAAATTATTATATTATATATTATTTATAAAAATCAGTTATGTGCAATTTTTTCTCTCTAAATAGATTGCAGGAAATGGAAAGGAGACAGAGAGAGAGAGAAAGAGAGAGGTGATCCATTTTGAAGGGATGAAACCTATCAGTAATTTATATTAATTAATATTTGTTACAGATGATTATTGTTATAGCTTCCTCGAAGGTGTTTTCTTTTGATCTCGGGATTATTTAACAATCGGAAAAGGACTTGCTCTCGCGGAAGGGTTTAAGCGAAGACTTGTCTCGTGCCACCACGACGGAAGAAGGCGAAGACGAGCGCGAGAAGTAGGTCGGAGAGAAGCCTCGCTCCTACGTTGGTCGGCCGCTGGTTGAGCGAGTCTCAGTCAGTCTCGCGAGGATATCCCGGGAGTTAACAGGTGTTTGTAGGAGCAGGCCCTCCGCGAAGAGACGTCCGTCTCATCCTCTCTTCCCTATCGTCGCTTTCGCTTCGTCTTCGATATCGAGATCCGCACGTCCGTCAATTCGCCGACGAGACAATACCGGTGATTTTCGCGGAACATGCGGTCCTGAGGAAAAGTCCTCGTGTCTCTTCCTCCGTGCATCGCCTTGTATCTATTTTTTATTTTCCTCGAAGATCCCTAGAAGGAGACCCACAGGAAATATGACGACGATAAGAAGATGTCAGGTAATTTTTATTTTATATCATTAAATTATTTTTATTATTAAATTATTTTTTCTATCATTAAATGTATAAAAATAAAAATCTCAGGATGACGTGATTTTTGCAGAAAGTTTGATATTCAAAAGTTCAAATCTTGCCTTTTGAAAAATTAATTAGCAAGAAGCCATGTGACAACTATGTGACAAGAGCGAATCTTTCCTCATTAAATTTTCATTTTTTATTATTATATTTATTGACAGGTTCTGTTATTATTTTTTGACAAATAAATTAGTGCACGATTCTTGATTAAATATTCATAAGTACATAATTAATTGATATATTTATTGCGGAAAAAGAAGGGCTTCTCCCATTCAATTAACCATCTCTCTCGTCGTTGCTTTGACAATCATCTGTATTTCTACGAGACATCCACTTCTATACGAAAGGATGTGAATGATCTCGTCTAATCTCTTCCTTTATGAATGGGATCCTAACAAGACTACTGCGACAAAGCACTGCGTGATTAATTAAACCGTAAGAAATCCGTGCAGGCCCGCTCTTCTGTCGGTTACGTAAATATACACGTTATGCTTTATCTCCGCTCACGATCGGTGTAATAACGAACCGTGAATGATTCCGCGGTTAATCTCGACCATCTCTGTGATATCCCGCGCGTAATCGATCGGCACGCGTGACGGCATCCGACCTTCATGATCGATGGTAAAGCTCGTGGGCGGACGTTTCCGGACGAGCGGGCGCGACAGACAGACAAAGATCGGGAAACAAAAAAACTAGATCGGCTTAATTGCCGTGCAATTAATGTCGACTCGTGAATTTTCTGGAGCGGAAACCCGTGTGGGTGACGTGCATCGCTGCCACGCTATCATTGTGCATCATGTATTTCCACAGTACGTTATAATGCGTACCGTTCACTCCGCGAATTAACTGGCCGATATTTATGCTCCAGACGATTAAACTCAAACCCTTAAATGCGAAGAAGTAAATTATTTAAAAAAATGAAATTTTCTTTTTTAATTGCACTTAATTATTAAGATTTTAAGCTTTGAAAAGCTCTCAGAGACTTACCCGAATTAAAATTTTATTTCTTCTTTCAACCTCAATTTTCTCACGTTTATGGATTTAATCGTGTCAGGCATCAATCATTGACAATCGAAAGTTACTGGAATGAAAAAAAATATAGATCGTCTCGCGTATTCCCTGCATTGACGTACAGAATATCGCAGAATTGTTAGCGTTCCTGCTAATGACAGATTGTTGAAACTATTTGGAGACAAAAAGCCGGATATCAAAGCTATAATAATTTTTTAATTAAAGGGAGAACGTTTAAAATTGGCCAAAAATTCCTGCTTTCAGATACGACACATCGCACTGTGAGGCTCTTCTCGTCTATTGGTCCATTTTTAAATATTAATATAAATTTAAATATTAATATAATTTTGCAGTAATATCGAATAGCAGCATAAAAATATTATAAAATCTTAGTGTTAAAACGCTATGCATATCAAAACTATCAAATGAAATGTATTATAAATGCATAAAATGTCTGCAATATAATAAAAATATTTTTTTTTTCTTACGTAAGAGAAATTACATTAAATCAATTTATTCAATATTTTCTAAGCTCTTATTACGGAAATAAAAAAATTATTTATTAAAATATTTATATCGTATGAAAGACAATATCATTCTCCTAATTTTATGTGATTGCTATGATAACTCAATGCACATCATTTTAACGTCAAATTTGGTAATATTTTTATGTTGTAAAATTATATGTCAATATTTGAAAATAAATTAATATTCAAAAACTGTGCGATGTACCGTGCCGACAAGTATGAACTGTGAGCAACTTAATTTGCCCAAAACTTTAAAAATGCTTCCATTTACAAATTTATTACAAAAGCTTCAATATCTGTTGATATTAAGATTTTCTACAATTCAAGACTCCATCATTAACAGGTGATGCACTAATTCTATAAATATTCTTACACCTTATATATACGTATACGAGTATGAGATAGGAGATGTACGGATGAGTTAGCGCACGCGTGCTTCACGCCAAATGCGTGCACGGGGAAAGCATGTCGTTCCATTTCACTTGTCGCTCGGTCCGTAGCCACCTTTCACGATTTTATTTCATTTTACCCGCTTTTTGCGCGTATATAAGCGTGCGATTAGAAAGTATTTCTTTTCCACTGTAACGTCGCACTTTATATATATACTTCAGCCGTTTCTCGTTAACGAGAACTTTAAACGGTTATTGAAAAAGCGATGCTCTCCAAATGCTAATATAATAGTCTTCACAGAAAACGATTGAGAGTTGTGAATAGTAAATCGAATCAGCAAATACAACGCATGATTTGCCGATTCTTGAAAGATCATTTTCTCTACGTCAATTTAATAATATCTATATACACTTAAAGATATTTCTTTACAAATATTTCGTTATACTTCTGTCACTTACTTTCAATATACGCCGTCTGAGATTTTATAATTCACGCAATGAGTCAGCTGCGAATTTAATTCGGCGCGCGATCACGCGACGACAGGTGCGCGTAATTCCAATCAGCGGTAATCCGTCACGTTTTATAATAGAAAGTAACCCATCGCTCGCGCGATTACTACACTGCTATTTTCTAATCCCGGGAAAGAATGCCCGGCAATCTCTCTCCGCGAGCTATTAAATTTCTCTCATCGCGCGGCTATTGCCGTTTCGATGACTCAGTCAGCCGAATATTGAATATTACGAACACCGACATTTTTGCTTCCTCATAGAGGAAGCTTTGTTTTCGTGAAATTTTTTTTTTCCAGTTTTCTATGACAATGTTTTAGAATGTTCCAAAACGTCGAAGAATCATATTTTTAAATAATGTCCGTATATATGTATGTATGTATATACGAAATGTACATTGTACAACCTCTAACTTCCGCAATTTTTGAGATGTCGGGCTAAATTTTTTTTAAAATGAATAGAGTATCATTAAATAATGGCTGATATTGAATTTGGTGAAGATCGATAAAAGGGTTCATTTTTTATAAAATTTTGAATTTTGTGAGAAATGTTTGAACACGCTCCAACTTTTGCAAATTTTTAGATATCGGGTTAAATTTTTTTATATAAATAGAATATCATTAAAGGATTGTTGGTATTGAATTTGGTGAGAATCGATGAAAGGGTTCATTTTTTATGAAATTTTGAATTTTTTGAAAAATGTCTGTGCACGCTTTAACTTCCACAAATTGCGTCGATATAGAGATATCGAGCTAAAATTTTTTAACATGATAAAGCTTCCTCTATGAGGAAGCCAAAATTGAAAAATCCATTTGCTCTGAAGAGGAGCTTTGTGGGCGAAATAAAATGATGAGAAGGCAATGTGCAAGTTTCTAATTTGCACGATTTTCATCTTCTTTTTTTGCGACGACCTTTAATGACTCCGTAACTGCTAAAATGTTACGTCACGCGTACTTCGTACGTTGCAAATGCGAACGCACGCGATTTGCAAACAAACTGCGAATCTCTAGAAACTCGTAAGGTCGGCTTTCGAAAATCTTTTCTTAAACTCATTTCACATTCCGGTCATCTTGTACTTTAATCGTCGAGGCGCAATCGAGCATGTACGCAACACATCGAATAGGAATCGTCGTTGATTTGTGTAGGAATCATCATTGACACGTATTATTTTCCGATGAAACGCATTATCACGTCATCTCCGTGATCGAAAATTGACAAACAATCGAAGTTGGTCATAAATTCAAGAAAATTTCGCAATTTTGTGTATAGATATAAAGCCGCGTTTCTTAACTCTTCATTATTGTCGCTATTAATTTGAGGAAACTTTGGATGAGAAATTTATTGTGATCCTTAACATATTTAAGAATTATTGATTTGGAAGAACTGATTAAAAAAAGTAGATAAATCAAGTGATAAAATTGCTAAAAAATATAATTTTACAGAAATACAAAAATCCGGAGAATATATTATATTGCACGATTTAATTTTGCAACTTTAGGCATAGATATAAAGTAACGTTTCTTAATTCTTTATTTTTGTTGTTATTACTTTGAGGAAACTTTGGATGAGAAATTTATTGTGATCCTTAACATATTTAAGAATTATTGATTTAGAAGAACTGATTAAAAAAAGTAGATAAATTAAATGACAAAATTGCTAAAAAATGTAATTTTACAGAAACATAAAAATATGGGAAATATATTATATTGCACGATTTAATTTATTTTTCAGATTACTTCTCTTCTGTTTTTCCTCGTCTTAACGCTCGGCACGTGCAATGTCGAGCTACCTAAGCCGAGCTACACTAGGACGATGTTGAAGGTTTCTCGAAGTCTCCCGGGCGAGACGGAAGAGCTGAAAGTACGAACGAGCGAGGGCAACGTAGCCACTTTAATCGTTAAGCGACGAGATAAATTGTCGTTTACCTTCGATGATTCGAAGCTCGCATCAAAACCTGTTCAGGCAGAATCGAATGTCACCGCGGAGAATAAAAGCGATTCGAGTGTGCGGAATGAATCGAAACTTGCCGACGACAGCGGCAGCGAAACCAGAAAGAAAAACGATGTGCGAAGGCTCGAGGAAGCTCAAGTAGCGCAGATCAGAGCGACATTCTCCGAATTGTCGGGATCAAAGGACGAGAAACCAAACGTCAACCGGACCGATGCAAAACCGATATCCGAAAAAAATAATCCAATTAGCGGCAGCGTAATCGATTTTGGAAACTGGACACCGCTAGACGCGGATGGGAGAGCATTGAAACAGATAGAGCCGGAAGAAGAGGAGGAGTATAAGAATTGGAAACCTTTGGGGACGAATCTAAAGACTACGATCGAGGAGAGGACGAGTTATGACGAAGGCAGAATCGGCGATATTCTGTTCGCCAGAAACCCCCAAGATCGGATTCAAAGAAATGTCGATTTACGAGACGGAAGCGATAAGAACGAGCGATCTATCTACACGTACGTGCCTCGTCAGTCCACGAGGACGAATATCGGGGCGAATCTGTCGAAAAATCGAGACGGCAAAACCGTTCCCGCGGAGGTGATTGTTCGATCGGAGATCAACGTGAAGACCGCGCCCAAGAGAACGCCCATGTCGCTGGACGTGGACGGTACGCCGGTGATCCATGGTACAAGAGTACCCGACGAACCCATTGATAAGGTACAAATTTGGCGAAACGCTCGAGTTATTAACAACAGGTTGATAAATGTCGAAGGGAACACCGCGGGAGTCACCATGGTACCCTCCGTTGAGCCTTACCCTGGTGATAATATCGAGAAGAAGCAGAAGTTTGATAAGTTCTTCAAAGATATCAATCGAAGGTAAGCCAGACTCAAACTGTTTAAATATTAAAGAAAAGTTTTTAAAAGATTATTTATAACAATTTAATAGCACTTGCTCAGAAATAAAGATATGTTTAGAAACTACCTTGATTCTGATATCTTTTCCCTAATTGATAATTTTATTAATTACGTAAATGCATTTTGATGACGTCGCGAATTATTCAATCTCGTAACATTATCAAAATCATTATTCAAATTCGACGATACTTGGAGCGCTTTCTTTGATCTCCCGTTTTATTTCCCGTCAGATACGGTCGCGATTACGAGGAGGAGGGCCGTAACGTATACTTCGAGTGGGATCCGAGAAATTACAAGAGCGAAGCTTTGAAAGCCGAGGTGTACGAGCCGCGTAACGACCATTACCGTGCGAGCGTTCACAAGAGGATGCTGCATCCGGATAGCATCGCGAATTATCCGATCTCGCAACGTTACACCCCCGACAGCCAAACCATCGCGCCCGTAGTCCTGAAATCCGGCGCCCGAGCGCCGGTTCTTCAGTACGCTCATCCCGAGCTGGGTGTGCAGCCCGCCAAGATTCTGAAGAACGAGAAACGCCGCCCCGACAATTTCCCCGAGAACCAACACTCGTTTACCGAACAACGTCACAAGAAGAAATACGTGCTGAATGACACGAAGAATTACTATCCGAATCAGCATTTCTACGGCCTGAAACGACCGAGCGAGCCGCCATTTTGGATAAAGATTTCCGAGAATCTGAAGAATCAGATCTCCACCGGGGTCGAGAGGGTTTCGCAATTCACTAGACCGGTGATCGATCCCCTGGTGGAAGCCACTCATAAGATCTCGCAGAACCTCGGTCTCTCCAGGGGTAAGGAGGCTCAGGACAAAATCGATACGATAGCTTCAGGCACCAGCATCCTGATACCGGCCTTAGGTCTCGTCGCGTCCGGAGCTGCGCTCGGAATAGGTGCCGTGGCAGTTGGCCGGTATCTCGATGTGGACGTCTTGAAACGATCAAACGCGGAGGACGATCTCGATCTCGAGCACAAGCGGGCCTTGGAAGCTGGAGCGTACTTGAGAGCGATCGAGAACGAGAGTTCGAGATCGAACGAGGCGACTCCTTCGCGGACCATGTACGTTTTACAAAACGTCGCTCAAGACGACAAAGTGGGAGATGAAAATACGACTTCGATGGAGAACGACGGAGTCTTTTTGATTCTGGAAGACGAAGATAAGCGAAACGCCGAGAGGATTGAAAATCGGGAGAGCAGACAGATGGTGGACGAGGTCGACTATGTGGAGACTAACGGACGAAGAAAAAGGAGAAGCCTGGACTATCTAAATATCCTTAAGACGGACGTTGACATGAGAAACCTGGTGCGTGGCAAACGCTTTCAGAGGAAGGGAGCCGATTCCATCAGCGAAATCGTCGAGATCGATCTGCCTGCTAACGCAGGTCGTATCGATATTACCGAATTCTTGATTCCAAAGAAGAGTAAAGAGAGACATTCGAATGGAAATACCATGTTGACCGTTGATAACGGCAGCACGAGGGTGGAAAATCTCAAAGCGGACATATCGGATCAAAACACGTTGGAGAACAACGTGAAAATTGTTGGAGATGTCATCGATAATTTACAGAACATAGTTTCGACGAAAGAAGATGGTATTCAAGATCGAAGAGATGATACCGATGGTATTTTCGTCGTGCTGGATGACAAATCGCAAATTCTCAGGAGTAATCTCGAGAAGGAAACGATAAGAAAGATCGGAAAGATCGATGCAGACTTTTCAAAAGAGGACAACGGAAGACAAAAGCGTAGCGTTGACAGCGATCAGGAGCTCCTGGATGCTTTGCAAAATTTGGAGAACGCGGAAATAGCCGAAATTGCTCACATACAAGGCGATTGGACGAATACGCCCTGTGCAAAGAGAATATTTTGCGACACGATGATTCAAAGAGGATCCGACGCCTCGGTGCTCATGGAGAAGAAGATGGCAGCGTTATTAAGACTGTAAGTACTTTTGACGTTTTTGTATTTGTTCTGTCTGTACATATGAAAACATTTTTACAATAAATATTTTTCACTTAAATAATAAGCTAGATAAGATCTTAAAACGTAACACGTAATTATCATAATCATAAATAGATATGATTATGCAAATTTAATTAATTATTTAAAATTGAGAAAAATATTGTGTGATCTACATAATAAAAGGAAAAAATTGATATTGTCATGAAATGTTTTCTTTTCATTTTTATATATACATATATACATATATGTATTTACTCTTTAATTTGCTTATTTATTCATTTTAGATTTTTGATTAAATTATTGTCAAATTATATTTTTTCACTATATTTACACTTATATTTTTTATAATTTCTCCACTTTTTACATTACTTTATTTCTAATAATATAATACAAATTTTTTTTTTAAGTAAAACATTCAACTTTTATTTGAAAAAATATACAAATTATATTCTATTCGATTATTAGAAATAATGCCTTATTAGAGTTGACAATTGTGTATAACAGTTTAGTGCTTTATAAAATAACGCATGTAATTAGTATAAAATATTACATTTATTTCATTGACGTTGCGTTGATATTGCAATTTGACGATGTTTACTGGGAAGAAATCTGATGTGAAATGGACGATCACTCGTTTTGTCGTAATTTTTATCATCTTTAACAGCGTCTTCATAAAACCGTACGAGCGATTTAATTACCGAGGCTCGAACTATCGGGACTTCAACGGGCACCGATAACAGCCGGTCGAACGGAACTATAGAGTCGTGTATAACTTTCTTCCAGCTTTCGCCGACGACGTCCTACTGACTGATTCGACTTTTACCTCTTAGCACAGTTTCACTGTATGCACATACTGCGCCCTGTCTCTGACATCGCACCGGCCACGCGCGATAGAAAAGAACCCTCGAGAGTAGGAGAGAAATAGAAAAAAAGAATACAGACGCGTTATCGAAAAGGAGAAAAACCCAAAAAGACGTAGAGAAAACTGATGAACCCGACCACGTCGGAATGTAATTCACTTAATTGCGCATTCGCTTTCCAATTTTCTCCTCCAATCGTATACCATTCGATTAAGTTGCTTTCTGATGCAATTTATTGATAGTCATATTTACGTCATTTTAAATAATCCATTTTATATCAAATATATTGTCATGTATTATACAAATATTAATATGTAACACGTTAATAAGCCAACAAATAATGTGTACATGCTTTTCGTATATGCTTGCATATTTTTGTACTTAAATAATTTCAGTATAATAATTTCACTATTTTTTCTTTCTTAGGATTTGTTTCTAAGTCTTTTCTTTTAAAAGTGTCAAATATTTTTGTATATTTCAAATAATTTCTTTGAAAAAGATTGTCTTGATGAGTATATTACTTAAGATAAATTCAAAGCAAAATGAGAGAAATTAAGCTCGCGCAATGATATGCATGTTTCTTACGAGAATAAATTGGTAATGACAAATATATGGCATTTAACAGGCCGTTTCCTGCGTCGACAATCATGCGAGACTCCATTATTCAATTCGATTCATTGCAAACACATGCATCCGTAAACCGACGAGAGAGCAACGTTATATCATGTACCATGTTGTAAGTGCATGCTCTTTCCGAGCCAGCATTTCTCGCGTACGTGACAAGAATTTGCGGGACAAACAGCGTTCTTAAAAATAGCAAGAATTGCAATATTTTTCCTTTTATCAGATTTCTCTTCACAATTACATATATATTTTTTCGTAAGATTTTCAGATTTTTTCGGAAAATCTTTCTTTCAAATTTTGTACGATAAATGAGATGTATAATTGTTAGATTTTCATAGACAATTGTTGGATTTATTTGAAAAATTAATTAATTTAGAGATTTAATTAATTTAATTAATTTAGAAATTTATTAAAATTTAGAGATTAATTAATGTATTTACAGAGGCAGCGTACTTTTGAATCACCTTGTATTTTAAATTAGTACGCCGTAGGAAAGCGAGTTAATTGGAGCGAGCAATCATTAATGGGACGCGGTGAAAAATGTCGATAGATTAAGGAATTCGCGATCTAGTGCACACTTAATTAATGATTAGCCGCGCGCAGTGTCGATATTTTGTCGAAGTGTGTCTCCAACTTTCTAACGATCCTATCGCTATTCTGTATCTAATCGTTTGCGCTTGCTTGCAGAATTCAGCCTGGAGCAGCTGTTCAAGTGTCCAGTCACTTCGAGGAGGTCATGAATGCTGTCAGGAGGCACGATTGTTCCATCTTTTTGTGTCCGCAGGCGAGACCCGGCAACGTCTTTCTTTAGAGATACGCGACTACAATTTTTTTTAATCACACACTCCTAAAATAGTTATATCATAAAAATATCAATTCAAAAATTATTGGGAAAACAAGATGAAAAACATGACAAAATATTTTATATAATTATTAACAATTCTTCGAATTCTTTAATTATAGTCAAAAACGAGCGAGAAAGTATCCTTTACACGCAATTAATTTAAATGTGACTGTTTAAAATTGCTGGTATTTTAAAATGCCGATAATAATGTAATGCGTTCTCTTTAGATTTGTCGGGTACATTCGCAAGAGAATGATCGTCACGTATATAGAATATTTTTCGAGTAGCGAAGTTGTTGCGATCAAGCTTGTTAACGTTATTTTCGGAAAAAAAAATTTCATCAATTTTCACGTTTGCAACGATTTTGCGGACGACTTTTAATAAGAACGTTTTCGATGAACACATCGAATTGGCACAGAGCCACAACTGTACATACTTGCCACCGAGGCGATTTTATTTAAAATGCACACATACTTATAATTTAGGTGATTAAGCATAGAATTTAAGGAAAAAAAAATGAAAGATCGGCGAATAATCAGTTGCATTAATTGCAACTTCCAAATGTTTATCACATCATAATCACCCTTCGATAAACATTTTCGCCTATCGCTTCATTTTGTCTCACATTTCTAATTCCGTCCGAATAAATTATTTTGTAACGAGATATAATTTAATTCGACGCGTTGAGCATCAGAGAAGTAAATAAAATATTATAAGCGAATCTTAATGATTCGAAGATTAAGTCATTGCCAATCCGCGCGTCAGACATGAAAATATATTTATTTCTGTATTTTTCTACGCGTACGACATCGTGTTTATAAGAGTCGATAAATAAACGATATTTTTTACTACATATATGTATTCCTTGAGCCTAGTCTTACTTTTGCTTTAGTGACATCTCTTCGCAGATTTTGAGCAGCTGTTGGATATAAAAGATCGGTCGATATTAGTATGTTACTCCTGTCGAACACAAGCAACTTGGCACGTACTAGTCAAGCGATAATTTTCATACCGTGAACTTCAATGAATATCGACGAAGGTAGAATATATTTCGAAAAATAGCAAAAACATTCGCCCCGCAACTACAAGTATAATCACATTATGTTATGAAATAATTATGTAATATAATAGAGTATAAAAATTTATGATTTTTGACCATAAACGTGCGTTAACAA